AGTCAATCCAAACTGCTATAATTTTTGTGATCAATTTCTAAATTTTTACTATGAAGTGATCCTATTTTGGAAGAAGCAGCATGGTGTATTAAAATCTGACTGAATCTTCCACTTATGGAACCTTCCACTTATGCCATTTATGGTCAATGTGACCTTGAGCAAATTAAATAGGCCACTGAGCCGCAGGTACTTTTATCAGCAAGGCGGGGATTCTAATGTCTATATCATTGCAGTTCTTTTGAAGAGCAAATGAACTGGTTTTGAAACATGTTGATTCATGTGCTTAATAGATGACAGCCCATCTTGTAGTTCTACTCACTCCAAATACTCACTGCAAAAAGTCAGTCATTAAAGAAAAAAATTTGAAAAGGTTCTTGATCCCTAAATCCCTTTATATATGAAATAGTACTATAGGATGAGTTGAATTCTACAGTTACTTTCTTTTTTTTTTTTTTACATCTTTATTGGAGTATAATTGCTTTACAATGGTGTTACAGTTACTTTCAACTCAGGCTTTCTATGATTCAGTTTTAACTAGCATATGAACAAAGCAGATAGAGAAACTATTATTTTTATATAGAACTTTAACAAATATGCTTTGATAGAAAATTAGGTGAATCAGAATACCACATTTCCCAGCATTTTGACTAATACAAATGTGACCAAACATTGGTCTTAAAGTGTTTGAAACTAAAAGGAGTAACAAGAAAATTAAAGATTTTACAATATCATAAAATATCCCTTTATCACAAATGTCATTATAGCCCTTATCTGAAAAATGGGGTAATAATGTAATTAATTATTTGGGTTGTTGTGAGGATTCCACTTTTATTCTTTTAGTTTTTAAATTTTTATTATTTTTTGGCCACGCCGCATGGCATGCGGGGTCTTCATTCCCTGACCAGGGATTGAACCAGCGCCCCCTGCAGTGGAAGCACAGAGTCTTAACCACTGGACCATCAAGGTAGTCCCTCCACTTTTAAATAAATGTAAATCATTAAGCCTAAGTACCTGGCATGTGATATGAGCAAAATGAAGAGTAGCTATTAGTATTAGCCATTATAGCAAAAGCATTTCCAAACACTCCCTGATCTTTGTATGAATGGCTCCTTCGTTCATTGATTAATTCACTCACCCAGTATCTACTGAACATGTTGTTTGCTGGGCACTGGTCCTGTCACTGGGAATGGGGACGCAATGGTGAAGGCAAAGTCCCTGCTCTATTTGAAGTCTCAGTTCTACTGTCATCTCCTTCCAGAGCCCTCCTCCATCACTCAGTCTAGGTCACACCTCCCCGTCCACCACCACCACCACACTGTCACCCCTGCAGGTCACTAGGCTTTATTTGATTCAAAAATGCTTATGACTACCCAAAACTCTCTTGTTCATTTATTTGCTTACTCACTTCTTTCCTGTTTACCCTCCGCTCGCTCCACCCCAACCCCCACAGAACATACACTCCGTAAAGGCGGGGACCATGACTTCTCATTTACCACTGTGTTCCCTGCACAGTGCTGGCTATTATTCACTCAGTGCTCCCATAATTCAACCCAACTTTAATAGCAAAATTCCAGAGAAGAAAATCATTTGAGCAATTCATTCGCTTTTCTTTGCAGATTAGGTTGATGTGTGGAATTTATAAAGAAAAGCTAGAACAGTCAAGGTCATTTAACTCACAGGAGAGAAATAAACTTTAAAAATGGCCTTTGATAGTCTAGAAGCCTGGGTTTTAGTGCTGTGAGACCATGTGGAAGTCACAGCCTCTCCAACCATGTCCTTGTCTGTAAAATGGAAAGGATCATGTCCACTCTGACAAACCCACTCGTAGGGCTGTCATGTGGCAAGATACAAACATAGCTAGCATTAGGACCCTAGCCTTTACAACGTGGTTTAACATGCATTTGCCCAGCTGAGTCTTACAAAAGTGATCCTTTGAAGTACAGAAGGGAGAGGCTATTTTCATTCTGTTTTACAGAAGAAGATACTAATATTAGAGAGTTCTTTTGAGACTGGTAAGAAAAGAAGCAAGGAAAAGAGAAGTGTACTATAACGGTAGATATGTCACTATACCTTTGTCCAATCCCATAGAATGTACAACATCAAGAGTGGACCACAATGAAAACTATGGACTTTGGGTGATAATCATGTGTCAGTGTCGGTTAATCAATTGTAACAAATATTCCACTCTGGTGAGGGATTTTGATAATGGCGTATGCATGTGTGTGGGCAGGAGGTATATGGGAAACCTCTGTATCTTCCTCTCAATTTTACCATGAACCTAAAACTTCTCTGAAAAAATAGTCTTTTTTCAAAAAACTGAAAATTAAAAGAGAGAGAGAGAAGTGGCTGGGGTCAAGTGGGGAGAGAAAGGTCAAGCAGCATCTTTGCAAGATACTATTGTTCATCACACTCCCACTTTCGTTATCTCCTGTGATCCTTTCAGTCACTCTCATCCAATTTTATAGATGGGGAAACTGAAGTGCAGAGAATTAAGGTAATGGTTTAACCACAAGTAGGCTACTGGTAAATAAAGATAACAGGTTGCGAAGCCAGTTCCTCCAACTTCAAACCCCACACATTTCACTTTCACCACGTTGCTTCCAAGAAATGATCAAGGGCAAGAAATTTGGCAAAAGAGAAACATGCTATGAAAAGAAAATTAAAATCACCAATCATTTTTAAACAAAGGAGGATTATCAACTCTTTTTTCTTTTCCCAGATTTAACTGAACTCTGGGTGGGGAATGTATATGGAGTAACATGAGGATTAGCTATGAGGAAGAATTTAATAACAGAGACAGTGATTTAGCCACTAATGAGATTATGAGGGATACCCTTGGAATATAGCTTTAAGATGCGATTAAACCCTAACATCGAAACTTCCATCATTCCAGGAAAAGTTGAATGAGAATCTGTGTGAAGACAAAGGGACAGATGTTAATTTAAAGTTCCTAGCTGTCATCCTTGATCTTTATAAAATGGAACTATCTTTTTAAACTGTAAAAGATATATTTTTAAAAATTCAGAAGTGAATAATATAGGAAGTACTCCACAAACTCCACTCAGAAGCCCCTTCCCAAGAGACAAGCATTGTTAACAGTTTGATATTGCGCCTTCTACACTGGATTTATTTTACCTAAATGTGATCATTCTCTACATACTGTTCTCTAACCGTTTTTTTCCACTCCATATGATAGACAATGTTCCAGGTGAAAAGATAAATCTACCTTTTTCTTTTCAATAGTGGACATACCATAATTATTATTTTCTTTTTATTGAAGAATTTAATACAGTAATATTTTCAGAAGAAAGACAGATCATTTCACCAATTTCTTTTCATTCTCCTGTCCAGTTTCAACCACCCACAGAGTTTTAGTTGTTCCTACTTTATAGGTGTGAAAACAGTCATTTCTTTCTTCCCCAGAAGCTTTGGTCACTTGGTCCACTAATTCTGTGTATGTAAGAAATATTGACATGAAATAAGTATTCATTTCTAGAACAAAAAATTCTCCAGGTAAAGGTTATGGTATTTTCTGCTTCACATAGAACTTGTGAAAAATAAAATCTTTAATGCATGGGATTCAAAATTAATATCCCATGACCAGAGAAGTGACCACAATCTCACATCACAACAGTACTTAAGAGTTCTTATAAACCAAGTAAAGGAATTGAGATTTTGTTCTGAAGGCAATGGGAATTAGTCGGGCATGAATGCATTTTTAACTGGGGGAGAGCATAGTCAGATACTTGATACAGGAAGATCTCACTAGCTAAAGATAATGGTTTAGAATGGTGAAAATCCAGGGACAAGGAGACCCAGTTACTCATGAATGACAAGCCTTTATTAAGGTATTGTAACCGAAAAACCAGCCTGAACTGACCCTGTCCTGTTCCTAACCAGAACTAAGTTGTTTTTCAGAGACAACAGAGCAAAACTAAATCATGCAGCCAACAAATGCACAGAGGAGAAAATTTTACCTTTAAATAACACCAGGAACTAAAGTTTCTCCCCCACCATGGAACCAAGACCAGAACATGACTAGAACCCGAATGCCAGAATCCTTTCAGAAGTGAAGGGTTTTTTGTCCAGGAAGATCCCGTGCTGAAGCCTCTTTACCATATCTTACCATACACGGCCAAGTCCTGAAGCCCTCCAATTGAACCCTGCCCCATATCAACCAGTGCTTCCACATACCAACCCATTCTACCTTAACTCATAAAAATTTGACTGAACCCCAGATCAGGGAAACAGGCTGAGAGCCTTGCCTCCTGTCTTCTTGCCGGTCGCCTTCTCACTAAAGCGTTTTCTTTTCTCAGAAGTCAGTGCCATAGTATTGGTTTCTATGTGCATTGGGCAGAGAGCCCCATGCTTAGTAACAGTATTAAGTATTATACCTCATTCATACTTTACCTTTATTTTACTTTTTTAAAATACTACTTTACTTACTTTAGTAAGATATTAAGTATTGTTGAGGCCAGTTGATTCTGAGCCTTGCTATAATTACTGCTGACAGAAATATTGTAGGTGAGCAAAACTTGACACCCCAAAATGTCTCTCTGGTATGTGGATTATTTCAAACTGAAAACAATCAAGGCCCAAAAGATTCAGGAAGAAACTTTGACCTTCCCGCTTCAAACTGCCTGAAGATAGTAGATAGAAGCCTTGTTCCAGGAAGGGAGCTGTCACAGTAGATAATTATAGTATGAACTAGGTTTGTAAACAGGGATGAACCTAGCAAAGTTTGTTTGTTAAAATTCCTGTGTCCCATTGTCTCTTCATGGTCCAGCAAACATTTGTTTACCAAACATTTGCTTTTCCGTCTCCCGTCAATGGCCTTCCTCCCCTGTGAAGTCCTAAACTCCTACCCCCAACATCTTCTTTTGTCTTTAGCTGAAAATGATAGTTAAGGTGAGGGTTTCAACCTTTTTAGCAAGTTATTTAATTTTTCTGGGTCTCTCCCATGTATACATGTTTTTAAACTTTTGTGTGATTTTCTCCTGTTAATCTGTCTCATGTCAATTTAATTCTTAGACCAGCCAGAAGAACCTAGAACGGTAGTGGAAAATTTCTTCCTCCCCAACAGTATAAATACAAACTCTGGCCTCTCCTTCTAAAATGTCCCTTGGCCTCAGTACATTGCCAAAGATACCAACCTCCACTTCCAAGAGGGCTTAATTACATGGCTGTAGGCTGGACTCCTGTTTCTCACCACATGAACCTCTCTCTCCAGAGGGCTGCTTGAGTGTCCTCATGACATGGAAGCTAGCTTCCTCCAGAGCAAGCAATCCAAGAGAGAAGGCAAGAAGGAAGCCATGTGCTTTACATCCTGGTGTCAGAAGCCACACAATGTCATACATACATTATTCATTTCATTTAAGTCAGTTAGTCCATCCCACACTCAATGGAAGAGGAGTTAAGTGCCATCTCTTGAAGAGAGGAATGTCAAAGAATTTTTGGACATATTTTAAAACCCCCAGAGGAGTCTAGTTTCAAATCCAGATTGATACACACGAGAGTCAGAGGCTTAGGGGACTGTGAGACGTAATTCTCCAGGAATTCACAAAAGCAAATGGGAGTTCTTTAGACTTTCACGGTCCATAGAACTGGGAGGATTCAGTGTAGTTTATCTAGACATCTGAGAGGCAGGGAGGCCAAATGATATTTCAGTTATACTATTAATCTCCCCATGTTATCAAATGTGTTACTGAGAGCATGAGATCTAAGTCTTTCCTGTTAATTCTCAAAATTATGAAAACATCCAAAGTATTTCATTATTTCCACATATCCCAATTTTTAATTCCAACTGAAATCTGGCATCTATTTTAGCACTCAAGGAGTGTTCTGCTCTTTCTGGGAAGGATTAGACGTATGTTAGTTGGAGAAGGTAAACCTTTAAAATGAGCCTTTGAGTGCCTGGATCCCCTTTTCTCTTCAGGCTTTTGTCAAAGGCAGGTTTAGCTCATGTGTGTGGGTATGTGTGTGTTTGCTTGAAATTAGACTGAGAAATTACATTGTTTAACCAGTTTATTGTACCAGTTGGACACTGTAGGGTAAAGGCAGGAATTTGACTTTTTATCACCACTGCCCCCCTTTAAATGCTCTATTATTAGTTCACGTACCCTCCCTTCAATGAAATCTCAATCAGATCTCACAGCTTTTCCAATCACCCTCACATAATAAAATATTACTCTATTTTGTCTAGTCTAAGATGAACATATTTTTCCATTTTAATATCTCATCTCTGAATCTCAAAGTCATCTTGTAGTCATAATTGGAAGGGATTTTTTTCCCCAAGTGTTATATAAAATAATGGAACATCTTATAATCAATAGCATCTTAGACTCAATGAAATTTAATAATCTCTTTTTCCAGGTATTAAAAAATCTAGTCAGTATAATAATCAAAATCCTATTCTCATCAAATTTAAAACTTCTCTCTTCTCTGATCTCTAGCCTACTTCAGTCTTGGAAGCCTATAATGAAAGAAGATGGGGATGGTTAGAATCATCTTCAGCTCTTATTCTACCTTCTCCTTGACTCCCTAGCTGATGCTTTGGGACCTTTCAGGGATTGGAGTGAGGAGATTGAAAAGAAGTAAAAGTAAATATAGTATTATTTCACAGTACAGTTATACTCTGGTATAGGTATTCTCTCTGTGAGGGATGTTCTAAATGTCAATTCTTTCTTTCTTGGAGTGGTTTTGTGGCTTTTTCAGAGACAACTTCCATCATTGGGGATCTCTCACCTACAGTTCATCTGACGTACACTATGCCTCCTCTTACAACTTCCCCTTTAGCCACTGGTTTTTGTGGCCCACCCCTCCATTGGATTTACTCCTCTTGTGTGGAGTTCCACTCATAACAACCCAATACATTCCAACCTCGGGGGCCTCATGGGTTCATGGGAAATTCAAACATCCTTTGTCACACCAGATGCTAGAAGTTGTGGTGGATTCCGACAGAGCCATTTTCCCTCACTGTGCTCCTAGTCAACAGAGCTCAGGCCACTGACTCTCACCTTTAAATTTTGTAGTTGTGAATCAGATGCCAGTCCTTGCATGGAACACGTGAAAAACTCTCCAAATGGTTCTCTAGAAGCATCATCACTGGGTCTGAGAACAGTATCTCATTAATTGCCTCTTGGAATGGTCAGTCTTAGGCAACTTCACTTCTGTTTCAGGTTTCATCATCAACTTTAAGATAAACACACTCACATATAAAATGCTAGAAAAGAAAAAAGGTTTATTTATTTTTTTCTACGTGTCATAGTGCTTTTCATTTTCTATTTAATATCACTTTACATATACAAAAATTTATATTTTTAGCATGAATTTTACCATTATCTTTATAGTGTGTATAGCTAGTATTATTTTTTTGTTGAATTTACAATATTGTGTTAATTTCAAGTGGACAGCAAGGTGATTCAGTTTTTATATATATATATATATATATATATATATATAATTTTATTTATTAAATCAATTAATTCTCTACTTTTTCCCCCCAAATGCTGAGAAACTGCTCACAATAAAAGATATAACAATAGGGTGAGATACAGTAACTATCTACTTTATGCTGGGTCCTTTATGTTACTGTTGATATATTGAGAAGAACAAAACATCACTAATGTAGTATGCCTGCCAAGAATGCATAACCCAAATTTACTCATGAGGAATAGCAGACAAAGACTCAGAATATAGAAATCAAAACAAACTATCAGCTTTCTTACTGACAAAGATAATTTGCGGAATGCAGAGGCCAAATGCTAACACTTCCTAAAACTTGGCTCCTGAATTAATCAGACTTAACACCAGTCCCTCTCCTCAGTACATGCATAAACCATAGGCCTCTTAATTCAGGAAACAATGTCTACCCCATTAAGCTTGTCAAACGGAGGAAAGGAGACTAGAATACCCTGGCTCTGCGGTAGACAGATTGAAAAGAGAAAAGAACCCAGAAGCAGCTGACATACACATGTCCACACAGTACCCAGATAACACAAATGGCAACTTTGGAGATAGAGATACCTTCTCTAGGTGGATCCAGACCCTATTGCACAGGGTTTAGAGTCCACAAAATCCTTGTTGGAATTAATCCTTCCTTCAGGTAAACCTAACTCTCTTCCAGGGCACAAGGCCTGAAAATGCAGCTGAGTTTCAGTCCTCTACTCACCACTGGCACAGATGGGCAGCCCTGTGCAGGTGGCAGCCCTGCATGCCTAATTCTTTCTCTCAATTCACTGAAAGTTTGAGAAGGACAGAATGTAGGGAGGAAATTCCCTTCCATTTTCTAATATACGGTTGAAAATTCTATTTCAGTGGCCTATGTAGGGATTCCGGGAAGAAGAGAAAATGGTCCCCTCTATGTAAGGGATGTTGATACATTAAAGATATCAGTTTATCTCCCATGATACAGTTTATTTTTTTCATCTTATTCTGAACTGTCTAGTCATTTAGGTTTAGGCGTATCTGTTGTATGTAGATAACAATATTTAGATTTTGTAATTAGGGCCCAGCCCAGGAATTTTGTCTTATAACAGGAATATTTGCAGCATTCATATTAATTACTCTAAGTGATATGACTACTATCATTTTGTATGCTTTCTATTTTTATTCACTTTGCTATTTCCCTTCTTTATAATTCTATCTTTTGCTGCATTGACTTTTATTAGCTTTTTCTTCTTTTCTAGTGATTTCCTAGTCATACATCCTATTTATCCTATTGTCTTTACATAATAATTATTATAATAAATATATTTGAGCCCTTATTTCTAGATCAAAATCAATATTGATTTCCATCTGTGAAATATGACAACCTCCCCTCTGCCTATCTCATAACCTTTAACTGAGCTTTTTAATGCAAATTATTCTATTTCTTCTTACCTTGGGTTCTTAGCATATCTTCTAAGAAATAATATTTTCATTTTTATTGTTTTATAAACTTAGTAACAACTCTAAAACTTACCGGCCTCTCTGCTTACCGATTTTCATGTTACATAATTCTTCCCTTTCTTGAGCTCTTAATTTTGATTCACTTCTCAGCCTACTAAACCAAAAGAATACTTGCTAATTCAGGATGTAATTGTTGGAACCCAGGGCAGGCATCCCCAAAATATGCCTTAATGCCATAATGATTATTTTGAATTAAAGTTACTTAAGAAATAGCCTCAAAAAGAGACATGCACCTCAATGTTCATTGCAGCACTATTTACAATAGTGGGACATGGAATAGCTGGGACATGGAAACAACCTAAATGTCCATCAACAGAGGAATGGATAAAGAAGATGTGGTACATATATACAGTGGAATATTACTCAGCCATAAAAAGGAACGAAATTGGGTCATTTGTAGAGACATGGATGGACCTAGAGTCTGTCATACGGAGTGAAGTAAGTCAGAAAGAGAAAAACAAGTATCGTGTATTAACACATACATGTGGAATCTGAAAAAATTGGTATAGACGATCTTATTTACAAAGCAGAATAGAGACACAGGCGTAGAGAACAAACATATGGATACCAAGGGGGAAAGGGGGGGTGGGATGAATTGGGAGATTGAGATTGATATATATACACTATTGATACTATGTATAAAATGCATAACTAACGAGAAAATATTGTATAGCACAGGGAACTCTACTCAATGCTCTGTGGTGACCTAAATGGGAAGGAAATCCAAAAAGGATGGGATATAAGTATATGTATAGCTGATTCACTTTGCTGTACAGTAGAAACTAACACAACATTGTAAGGCAACTATACTCCAATAAATATTAAAAATAATAATAATAATCACCTTAACTTCCAAATAGAATACCTTCACATTTTTGAAAACTAGTTCATTTGTATATATAAACCAACATTGTCTACAGAAGATTTTGTTTGTGCTCCAAATATGCTAATGTCATTCCCAGTTGAAACTGTCACATACTAAAGGTTACACATTTCTTTCTTTTTAAATAAAAAGTCAGATAATCACTGAACACCTTAATTAAAAAAAAGAAAGAAAGAAATAGCCAATACAGGAGGGACAATCTGATCCTCCCCTCTGTCTCCCTGACAGCAGGAAATAAATCTCTGATGTGAGAGGTGCCCTCCCTGTACCAAGAGGTAGAATGACATCCTTATCACCAGAGGTAGGGAATTCAGGGCAAAGAAGGCTCTATAAAATACCTGTTACCTCTTTACTAATTTACTATTCACACCCAAACACTGCTTAAATTTCTTACTAATTAAGTACCCAAATCTAAGTTTCTGTGCCCTGTTAATTTCTCTCAAATTTACTGTTTCTTTGTCAAAAAAAAAATATATATATATATACATACATATAAAAGCTGCCTGCTTGGACACTTTTTAGGTCCCATTTCTATGAGACCTTTGTGCACACGATTTAATATTTGTTTCTTTTTCTTCTATTAATCTTTCTTCTGTCAATTTTAGTATTAGTCCAACCACAAGAATTCAAGAGGAGTAACTGGGAAAATTCCCTCCTTGCTGATAATATGTTATTGACTCTACTCACATTATTTTCTCAGCCTTCAATGCCCTCCATTTGATGATAGCCAACTTCCTATTCTGTATTCTCAAGACACATCCATTGTGCATACTTCTGTTATGGAACTTATTTCATTCTGTGCATGCATTACTGGAATGTAAGCTCCTTAAGAGCAATTTCTTTCTCTGTCATCTCTACTTTCTTTCCAGTGTGTTGCAAAGAGCCTGGAAGGTACGAAATAGAGACTCAGTCACTGTTGAAAGAAGGAAATCATTAGCTGAATTATTTAATATTTGATCACTGAGAACACTGCAGTACTTCTGCGTATTGTGCTGTAATGCTGAATTTGTAGACAGAAACACAGAGGAAAAAAGGCTGAATGACATCACAGTTGGAGATACCAACCCCTTCAAGGAGCCATTCATCTGATAGTCAAAGCCACACTCTCCAAGTGAGGTATAATCAAGAAGAAGGCTGAGCACCAAACATGTGCTATGCCCACACTTAAATGGGAGGAGAATGGAGTGAACAGGAGGAGAAGTAGGCAGCAGGGTGAATCAACGCTGTGGAAACTTAAGTGGGAGAGAGTCAAAGATGGCAAAAGTGGTCAACAGTAACTAATAATTAAGGGATATAGGAAGGATGAAGGATGAGACCAGAAGTAAGGTCATTAGAAGTTGATGATCTTGTTTCCCACATTTTTTTACATGGTTGTCTTCTCTGTGCTCGTCAGTTGTGATTTAAAACTATGAATACTTAGATAAATAAAAGCTCTAACCAGTCTAGGTACTTGCTAAGTCAATTAGCATATTTGAAAATTCAGTTATAGTCACCTGCATGGTAAAAGGATTTTTTAAATGAATCTGGCATTTCAATCCCTCTCTATCTCAATCCCCTAAAAGTTTGCTTTAAAAGATTAAATAAATAAATTCAAATTTCTTATAGGGTAAAATTCTTATCTTTAAGAGTAAACAGTCTAGTCATCAAGGAAAAAAGAATACCAGATAAATATTATGGGGGAGTTCTTCACCTATTTGTGTTTAACCACAGCCACTTCAGGAAAAGACTAATGGGGATTTAGAAAACCTCATGAAATAAACCACATTGTAGCCATATGTGGAGGCAAAATACATATATATATATATATATATATATATATATATATATATCACTCGAGTATATCCTAAATTGTAGAGGAACATGATGAAAGGGAGTCTACTCTTGGTGCAAAAACTGATTCTTTGGCAAATTTTCAAGGGCAAGAAGGTACTTACGACTTTCTACAGTGAGATATATTTAAACTTACTGTTTTATCACTGAGTAGCTTTTAAAGTTGTATCAATTTTCTCTAAAATACTTTGTACTCAGAAGTTCTTCACTATCACAGATTACACTAGATGTTTCTAAACGAAGACCTCTTTTTCAAGTGAGAAAACTCCAGATCTAGAAGGAAACATAATGTAGCTTACTGCCAAAACTACATGATTATTAGTTTATATATTTGTTGAAACAAACACGTATCAAGAACTTACTATATTAAAGTGTAGTGTACATCACTGTTTCTCAAACCATCTATGGTAGAGGACTATTTTTTCCCCAATCCATCATGATTTTTCAAAAATGTAATAAGAATAAATTACTAAACAAAATAACATCAAAAAAGGAAGCCCAACTTTTTATTATTAAATTCCACAGAATAAAATTACATTCTCAAATTACCTTTATAATGTTCTAAATATTTACTCTCAATTCCTATTCTTATCTGTTTGCCACACCCCCTATCCTGTTCCTTAGGCAGGGCTGGGGGTTGGTTAGTGCTTTAACCAACATAGGCATTTGTGTCTCAACTCAACGGAGGCTTTCATTCTTACAGTCAAAAGAAATTCAGAAATACTCCTCCCATTGGCATAACCAAGAGTACACCAATTACGCAAGAAAACAAACACATAGAAAGAAAACTTGTGTAGAAAGAGTACACAATCAGGCTTCTTTTATGCACTATAATCATCACAGGACCAGTGAAAAAACTTTCAGGCATTTCCAGGACTTATAAAAATTTTTGAGAGCTAAAATATATTAACTGACTCCAAAAAATAAACACAGAAAGTAAAATTAACAAATGTTAAAATCTTAAAAATAAAGCATTGATTATTAAATTAATGATTATCAATTAATTATTAGTAATTTTTAAATTTAGTGTTCATAAAATATCATTATATTTGAAAACCCTTTTTAAGTTACATTTTATCACTTTCCAATATCAGCAAGAAATCATAGCTAGTGGTATTTTAAGGGAGTTATTTGCAGCTAAGTTATTTAAAAAGAAAAAAAATCCTTTCAAAAATTTTATAGCCAAAAAAAGTTTATATGGGTTATGAAGACATCTTAATAAATGTGAAATGACATGGTTTTAAAAAGATTTTTCAAAAATCTTTTTAAAAACCCTGTCCACAAAGTATAAACACATTGACTTTTTGTTAAATGAATGAATGAATTTAGAAGGCACACTTTGGAAAAACTAGAGGAGAAGCAACAGGACACTTGCATTGTACAGGGCTTGTTGCAGAGAGCAACATTTATAAGCAGAGAATGGAGATAAGGCTAGAATACAAGATCAGACATCTGCAACATCCACGGTAGGAAACAGTTAAAACATGGCAGGAAAACAGAATCAGCAGACACCAAATGAGGCAAAGGAAAAAAGGACGGTAGATTAAATCAGACCAGGCTGGAGATTATTTCCCTAACCACATTGAAGACAGTTCTTCCCAGACATTCAGAGAGAGAAAATTGGGAGTTTATATCAACTTTCACGAATAATTTTCATTGTTGTTACCTTTACTTATTAAGGTACTACTAAATATACATAATTTTTAAATTTCATATTGTGAATCTAAGTTTTTCAAACAAATCCTTTTTTACTTCTGTAACATACAAGGTTAATGGGCCTATCCAGGTATGGTTACCATCTTAGTTCATTTAGGCTGCTATAACAAAATACCATAGACTGGGCAGCTTATAAACAACAGAATTTTATTGCTTATAGTGCTGGAGACTCAAAGCCTGAGATCAGGGTGCCAGCCTGGTTAGATGAGGGCCCACTCCCAGGTTGCAGACATACCGTCGTATCCTCACATGGTGGAAGGAGCAAGCCAGCTCTCCAAGGCCTCTTTCATAAGGGCACTAAACCCATTTATGAAGGCTGGGCCCTCATGACTTAATCAATTCCAAAAGGCCCCCATCTTCTAATACTATCATCTTGGGCATTAGGTTTTCAACATAGAAATTTGTGGTTGGGGGGGCACAAACGTTCAATTCAGACTGCAGCAGTTATGAACAGACATATAGACTGCCTAGAAATATCCTGTGTCTTCGAGCATTTACATAGTGCTTGATTTCTTTCTTTCTTTCTTTCTTTTCTTTCTTTCTCTTTCTCTCTTTCTCTCTTTCTTTCTTTCTTTTATATGTCATTACTTTTACTTGAATTTGCTTTTATCTTTTTTATTAAGGTATGTATAGTAAAGAGTACAAATTTTAATTGCATAACTCAACATGAATATTCACCAACAGATCATAACATACAATAGTTGCACCACTTCAGATGGCTCCCTCCCAGTCAGTATACCCCCAAAGGTAATCACTATTCTGACTTCTATCACCGTTGATTAATTTTTCCTTTATTGAGCTTAATATAAATGGAATCATACAGTAGGTACTTTTTGGTTCCTGGCTTCTTTTGCTCAACATTATGCCTGTAATATTCATCTGTCTTGTCATTTAGTAGCTATACAGGTTTCCTCCACTACCAAAAGCAGAGTGTTCCTTGTGGTGGCTCAAACCCTAAGCAGCATCTGAACAGGGAGGGAAACAGCAATTATTGGCAATTGTACAGGTGGCCTATAAGAGGCAGAACAGGTCTCTGATGGTGGCCAGACCACCACACTTCATGCCCCAACCCTTGCTGAATACCCACACCAGCCCCTCATGCTTCAGCTCTGCTCCCCACTGGGGCAGAGGATGCCAGTGCTGGAAGGGGTAAGAGCACATGCTTGGACCCAACCCTCAAGCTTCTGTTCCAGCAACTTGGAACCTGACCCCAGCCCTAACAGAGCAGTGACAGCCACTGAGCAGAGGGAAATCCCTACCTCACACCTGACTCCAGCCCTAGCCCCTCCTTCTCCAGCCCCACCTCCTATTGAGTGGATAGCTGCCAGCACATCATGAGGAAAGATGTGACTTGCGTTCACATCAAATCTAGCTTTCTCACCAAAGCCACCAGGACCACACAGATTGTACAGGGACACTCCAATGTAAGGACACTGTTTCAAGACAGCTATAGGTAACTGTTTTACCTAAGCAAAATGAGGAGACAGAAGAATTTGTCTCAACTGAGAGAGCATGAGAAAACCCCTGAACAACAACTAATGAAACAGAAATAAATAATTTACTAGATAAAGAATTCAAAGCATTAGTAATAAGAATGCTAACTAAATTAGGGAAAAGAATAGATGAACATGGTGAGAGTTTTAATAAGAAACTAGAAAATTTAAAAAGAAACAGTCAGAGAGGGGGCAGAGTCAAGATGGTAGAGTAGGAAGATGCGGAGTTCACATCTCCTCACAACTAGGGCACCTACTAGGCACTGGTGGGGTTCCTCAGACACTTAAGGGGGTGGGAGGAATCCCCACACAACCAGGTAGGATGTGGGAGGGAAGGAGGAAGGGAAGAAAAGTGGAGGCGGGGTGGGACTGGCACCCCTTAATTGGGGCTGGGGAGGGAGAGGTTCCCACACTCAGAGGGGCCCACCTACAGTGCAGGGATAAGGGGATGGGGAGAGACTTTCAGGGAATTGGGGGATCAGAGGGCAGTGCAGCCAGTGTCTCCCCCACCTACTCAGGCCCTAGCAACTCTGCTGGGGTCCTAGGTCTGAACCCCCCACCCCCTGGGGGTCCCTCATGGCAAGGGGACCAGCAAGGATGGAGAGGGACCTTCAGGGGATCAGGGGATCAGAGGGGAACATGTCCAGCACCTCCCTTGCCCACTGGGGCCCCAGCAAGCCTGCTGGGGCCCCAGGCCTGAAACCCCACCCCCCTGGGGCCCCCTCCAGCCAAGCAGGTCCTGGGCCTGAGCCCCACCCCGACAAAGGCCTCTTCCAGCTGCGTGGGTCCCAGGCCCAAGCTCCACCTCTGCCAATCCTCCTCTGGCAGCACAGGTTCTGGCAGCC